CGACTGTTTTTTATGTTTATTAAGAACATTGATTTGGCTGTGCCCTTTACTTAGATTCGTGTTAAACTTTGTGACCAATAGACTATTTAATATTGTTATTGTAAATCAGTATTGTTCGTAACTCACTGTTTTATTATGAATTCGATTTTTAATATATTTTAGATACTTACCCCACAAATTGATAGGTACCTAAAAACTAAAATTTTAAAATTAGCTTGTGAAGTTACGGTCAACTTGACCATACTTGTATTTAAAGTGACGAATACCTGCCTAAATATGCACATATGGTACAAACGTTATCAGAGAGAATGTTACTGATATGGTGCCAGAGTTATAACATGTAGCTCTCTTCTTGTAGGCTCAAACTCGATTTTAAAGCATATGGAATATAAATTATTGTAACATTCATCAGTTCAAATTGTCCCATACCTAGAAGTCGAGTCAGAAAAAAGGGCTACATACTGGTTAACTACTTGGTAACACTCGTGAGTTCTTAAACTCTTACTTGTAAACATAAAAAATTAAAATGGAGAAAACTCGCAACACGCTACGACGCCAAACTAGAAAATATTAGTGAAAAAACATTTCAACAAACAGAATTTTCTATTTTAAATTTTAGGAAAATTGAACATACGTAAGGTTGGGGGAATTGAAAGTTGAACATACGTAAGTTAACATTTAAATGGAAATTACCCACATAACTTTTCTTAAGTGCGTAGTATACGATAAGGGAAAGAGAGTTCTGTAAGCAATGTCACGGACACCCAGAGAAAACCAGTGGCCTGGGACATTGATCCAAGGATGTCCCTTATTTCAAACAAACAATTTCCTCCTCCCCCAACTCATGCGTCAAAAATAACTTAAAGCGTTAAATTTAGCTTAGAAATAAATATATTTTTCATTTATTTCCAATGAAAACAAATAACTGACAGTCCGGATGGCCGAAATCGTTAAGGCAGTAGTGCCGTAGCAGTCTCAGACCGAAGGATAGAGGGTTGGACTCCTGCTTCGGGCATTCGTCCTTTCGCCCCCTATCATCACCATGTCATGTCATCTTCACAGTTACCATGCCGTTAAATGTAATAGTGGTCGCTAATGACCTAGAAGTTGATGTGACGTAAATAAAAAGAAAAAACAACAACAAATAATTCTGGGCCCCAATTAAGTCGGGGCCTGGAGCTATTTGCCCCAGCTGCCCCCTCCCCCTTCTGTACGCCACTGAGCAATTTTTTTTTTACCTAGAAGGGAAAAAATGAATAGTGTAGTATTTGTATATTATAATAAATGTGATCATAAAATCAGTAACATTTTGTAACCATTTTTATTGATAATACTCATGCGTTTTACAAAAAATCCTCAGATTTTCTGTGCTCATAGTTTTGAAACAGATCTACTCTGAAATAACCGATATCAAAGCTGTTTTCTAAAAATGCCTCATAATAGATTTGGTAGTGTAATGTTACATTAGGGAACTTTTAAATATCTTCCGTGAATACCGTAATGAAAAGGTGTGTTCATTTCATAATTGTTTCATTTAAAAAAATGATGTTGAAATTTCCTGTGAGTGCACAATGGGGCAGAGGGCTGCAAATCGTTGTAGAAATTAGAGAAAAAAGCTAAGCGCTTTATAAATGGCAACTTGGTGAATTGTGCATCGTATCCGGCTTCAGTCAATGAGCTTCATGCACGACAATATTACTGGGAATTTCAAATGCAGACTGATCTCAAAATTGTCACCTTGTTATTAAGTCATTGAAACAGATATGAGGCATTTAAAAAAATGTAATCTTTTATTTCAACTACTCCGTGCTATTTTTGGCTGGCGACGGTAAAATTGTCACTTATACATTTCAAAATGTTTCTTAACACTTCTCGCTTGCCATGCACCATGGCGGCCGTCTGGCCTGGCTTTTCTGCCGATGTGCCATGTTGTGGTAACGTGGTTCATGACGTTTCTGGTGCAGCGCAGAACGACCAATCAAGAGTTAACAATTTTTACACATATTGATTGTTTTTTCACGGAAAGTACAGCTCTAGTATTTATTAGAGAGATATGGCATAAAATTCTGGGGAAACTCATCATGTAGTATGGATCTTTAGATGGTAAAAGAAAAGTATTCGAATAATGAAAAAAATGCCATCCGCGTGATCCCCGCAAGATTCTGTTCATTGAACTTGGAATACGAATAGTCAGTAAACTAAAAAATAAATATTCATCTGGTTTAGATGAATTTCCGGATTGTTTATTGAAAACTTGTGCACTCACATTTTCAATGCTCCTTTATGTACAGGAAAAAATGAAATTAAAAATTACCGACCAATTTCTCGTTTGTCAGGTTTCTCTAAAATATTAGAGAGGCTTTTCTATACGCGAATGGAAACCTTTCTCAGGAAAAAACGAAGCTTTTTCAGTCTCACAACACAGTTTAGAAAATTAAAATCTAAGGAATCTGCCATTTTTTCTTTTCTTAAACATATTGCTTCATCAATGGACCAAAATGAAGCACCCATTGGAATATTTTTAGATCTCTCGAAAGCTTTTGACGTTATTGATCATAATATCTTGCTATCAAAATTATCTTCTTATGGAATTCGTTGTATCGCCATTGATTGAATAACCTCGTACCTTAAACATCGATCTCAAAGAGTAAAAAATACCGCACTGGCACGAAAGGACATTTACTTATTTTTCCAATTCTTTACCAATTGAAAAGGGGGGTTCGCAAGTTTCGATCTTAGGTGCATAACGCATTGCTGTTATACGTAAACGATATACCCTCGTCTATTAAAAACGGAAGAACTGTTCGGTTTGCCAATGACACGAATGTTCTTTGCAAAAAAGAAACAATAAATAGTACGAATTCAGAAGTTTCAATTTGGTTTTGTAATAGCAAATTAATAGTTAATGAAGGAAAAACAGTTTCAATGAGTTTTTGCCTTTCAAACCAGCAATCACATGCTCCATTAAAAATGAATAATATTCAATTAGATGATGTTCAGATAACAAAATTTCTAGGTCTGTCAATTCAGTCAAACCTCAAATGGAATGTACATATAACAGAATTAAACACTAAATTAAGTTCCTTTTGTTATGCATTCAGAATTCTTTTAAATTCTGTCAGCCTTCATGCAGCTCGTCGCGTGTATTGTGCAAGTGTACATTCCTGCCTGAGATATGGTATAAAATTCTAGGGAAACTCATCATGTAGTACACAGACCTTTAGATTGCAAAAGAAAATTATTTGAATAAAGAAAAATGCCATCCGCATTACCCTTGCAAGCATCTCTTCATTGAGCTTGGAATCTTACCACTGCCTTGTCTATATATTTACGAATCTGTAATATTTGTCAAAAGTGACTTACTTAACAGTGGGAACATATTTTCATGCTATACTGATATTTATAATTACAACACATGCCGTAAAAATCACGTCCAAGTGTCAGTATCAACAGTTCACTATCAGAAATCCACATACAATACATGTACGTTACTTTACAACACACTGCCAATGACAATAAACAATTGAAGTCGGTTCACTAATTTAAGTTAAAAGTAAAATCTTTTTTGCTGCATAACTGTGTCTATACAATTAGAGACTATACTGATTATCAAAAAGATAAATAATGTTTATTTTAACAAAATAGTGATATATAATGAATTAGTTTACATTTGTATTATATAATTTTTTTTAGAAGACTTAATATGTATGTAACAAATAATGTACTTCAGCATTCGGGTTAATGACCCCCATCTCGATCAGGTTTTTGTCGTTACCCTGATACATTGAGCAAGTACTGAGATGGCCTCTTGTTTTGTTTCTGGACGTAAATGTAGCTTCACTGTGCGCACGTTTTGTTGAACTCTTATTTTGCTTGTAATGGTAGGAGTAGAGGTAAGGGCGAGTTATTGTTTTGTTTGCAAAGCAGAAAAATCATACTTACAGTATGTTTACCGATGCAAATAGGTTTTCTTTAACTCGAGAACGAAAATGTCTATTTTTTTTTTCAAATATTGCTAATCTCGCAATTTTTTTTTAAATTTATTTTTATTTATTTATTTTAAACTTTTACTCATCTTTCAAATAATTATAGTAAAAATGATGGGAAGGGATTCTGGAACTCAGGAAAATGTCTGCAGTTGATCTTCTCCCCCATTCGTGACATACAGTTTTTACTGTGGGTTTTTTTTTCCTGACCAAATAAATCTAATGTATTAAATTTTGTTGTTCTCCATGCAAACGTGATGAACTGTTACATTATGCATTCAAAAACAGTTTTCTTGCATCTCCTAATTTTATGATTTTTTTATTCATCACAGCAATAATATTCTGTTAATTGATATTCACCCAGCATCCAAAATTATTACAAAAATTCTTAGCATTACGTACAATTTACTTTTCCAGAGTTGGCTCCTGAAGTATTTTTCGCACACAATTTCTTGAGCCCGTGATACCTTCCACCATTCTTATACTAACATTCGTTGAATCCCACATAAATAAAAGCAATGAGCTACGTTGACAAAATCTGATAACCAGAAACGTTTGCTCCTATGTAACAAAATATTTTGTATCAAAAAATGATCCACAGATTTGATATAATAGTCCTGTCGTGAAAATAACCAACCTTCCCACTCCTCTGGCATTATCGAAATGAGGGCTCAAGAAAATGTGCGCGAATAATACAATTTGTCAATTTGAAGTACCTAACTAAAGTAGGTGTGAAAGGCTTTTGGAATGAACAATATCAAGATGGAGGTCCATAAGGGAAGACTTTACGTAATAAAAAGTTCCAACTTAAGGACAAATCATTGCACATAAATCTTTCATTGCCTTCATAAAAAAATCATATTTTTTGTGAATAAAAATAAAATGAAACAACTACAAACTGTAATGACACGCACGAAATCTTCGTTAGAACTTTTATATTACTTCCAAAATGATGAATGGTTAGGTATTAAATATGATTAGGCAAGGATGTTACAAGAATCAACAAACCAAAAATATATTTTTTCCATTTTATTGAAAAATACATATTAACTAAATACATGTTACACATTAAACAAATAAATAAATTCAGACCTATATTTTATATACAAATAATCCTCAGCACCAACTCACGTCTGTGTACGTTCCTCTTCTAAAAATTGACAGATGATTCATGGTAATCAATGTTCCATCACAAGTGTTCCCTTTAGCCATCTCTTCACAAGTCATAAAGACTTTCATTAAACTGTCACACATCATGAACAAAACTTATTTCAGGTGGGCTCCTTAGAAGAAAACTGAACACTTCAATGATAAACATTGTACTTTTAAAAATAGGTACTCTCAGATATCTTGTTTGTCACTGTGCCAATGTAATTTGGCTCCACACACTATCAATGATTAATTCCGGTGTATATCCTTCTGGAGTTCAGCAGTTGTAACATAAATGTCCACTGGAGCAGTCTCAACTTCAGGCACCTTGTTTTTAGCTCCCTTGGAACATAAACACTGAACTTAAGAATGTCCAGCCAGACGAATGACACTTCATTTTTGCACTTAAGCAACAAATGCTGTTTAATAAAATCTCAAAGGTTACTTACAATGAACTTTAGACTTTTACTGAGCTTGTTAATACAGAAACTCATGTTTCAAGGCAGAAAGATTTAAGAAGCACTGAATGGTTTCAAAGCTTACCAAATACCTCTTAGAAAAAACTTACAATAAAGAAGCAATGCAAAGATTTTATAGAACCAAAACAACTACCATGCAAGTAAAAATCACAGCATTAAAAATGTCTGCCCCATTGACTATGATCATAGGCATACTCATTTTGGATGGAGAGCATTGCGAATGATGAAGAAAAAGCAATAATGAATTCTCTAAACGTTGTACAATGATATAAAGTAAGGAAGAAATAATGAATGTTCTAGTACTGAATGTTTTCAAATAGGCTGTGATGCATATAACAAAACAGTTTCACTGAAATAAAAAGCAAAAATACCATGTTCACTGACAAAAATTAAATTACTTTTGCCAGAAGGAAATTCCATCATAATCAAGCTAATGAGAAATAATACTACAAGAAAAACCTAAATCACAATTCAAATCAACTTGAAGACAGATCAAATGAATACGATTTCATAGAAATCAGCCAATTCAATTCAGAGATCAATAGCTTCTTCTCTGCTTAGCCATAGTTCCCTTTTCTAGGAAAAAAACATAGTACAAAGAACAAATGTTTTAAAGATGATCAATTCGCATTTCAGTAACAAATGTTGGAATCCCAAATTCAAATTTTAGGTATCGTATATTTATATTGTTCCCAAAATTAATTATATTATTTCCAAATATAAGAGCATTTTTTGAGCGTGTACCAAACTATCTCCATAAAGTTCCTCAATTCATTTTATATTTTAAATTAAATCGTCTAACATTCCTCGTTTCTCTTTCCATGTTCCATATTTATTTCACAGATTTTTGAAAAACTTATTAGTTGCTGGCAAATCAGCTGCAAGATTGTTGAATGCAAGAAACAACATGGCTGGCCATATCAGTAGAAACAGCAAAACTTGGGAATTTAGACCCAACTTATTGCCACTAATGATAGTTATGAACCAATGACAATTCCTAAGAAGTGTCTACACAACTTCTAATCATTAACTCAAAATAATTCCACACAAGGCCACATCTATAAACACTAAATTAACCAGATCTACCTAACAGCGATTATAAATAATAAACCTTAAGGAACAGTGACTGGCAGAAGAAACACACTTTGAGGTCTATTTACACAGCACATATTTATTACTAATGAAAATTAATGAAAATCAAGACCCTTAGAAAAATTCTAACAACAAAATGTATATTCAAAGAAATAAGACTAAGAAATCTACCAATAATGCATGACATGCAAATTCCAAAAGCATTCACTTTAATTTTTGGAATTGTTATGAGCGCATTTGGAGTTTCTCAGTGAGCTCTGAACTACATGTTTTTCGATGAAACAAACTACATGCATAGGGAATTTTGAATGGGTTCCAGGGCATTAAGTTCGTGGAATAATATCAATATTAAAAGGTGATTAGGAATCACCATGCCACATTAACACGCTGTATTACTACTGAACCTTCAGCCTTTTAGCATGCTTCTTAACACTCTTTATGTCGGGCTTTGCTTTCTACCATCAATTTGGTGTGAAAAATAGTATAAGTGCTTCTATAGCTCACTTTTTTTTAGATTTAAATTTAATTCTTTCATAATTTCATCTTATCTCATTTCTAAATACATATTAATTTTCTCTAATCCATTTCACTGACAGTAAGACATTACCATTCTGACACCAGTTGAAATCTTTTGTTATATATAACCTCTCTACATTTTTGGTTTCAACTTACAGGTCAGAAAGTTAAAATCTAGTGACAAATAAGACACTTGAAGGTTATTTTTATAAGTTCAAAATTTTAACACTAGGTGCAAGATTTTATGATGCACATGGACTCAGATTCTACTAAATTAAGTTTATTAGCATTTTGATGCAAATGTATACAATTTTGCTTGGACAGTAAAAGATGTAGACTTTGCGAAAATATTGGGCACCTCAATGATCATCTTAACAATTACTGTCCAATAATGTTAGAATGCATTGCCTTTATACTGAATTGGATTGCACTAAAATAAAAAAAAGGAGTCTTCATCTGCCTAACCAAAACTAATGAAAACAGTCATGCCAGTCTTCATGCATGATACGATATTACAAGTTTCTGCATCTCAATACCACATAATAATTTTGTATGAATCTAAGCTCAAATAACTGCTTAATTGTGGTGCACACTAATGCTGTTCATAAAAAGGTGACACAATTTTGCATCTACTTAATGCAGAAAAATACACATACAACACACCTGTGTCCACTGGAAATAAAAGCAATAATGTAATTATGTTTACTAAACATTTACAAATTTTCTACTCAGAATTGAATGAAGTTTTTACAAAGCCTTTCAAACACAGGAATTTAAAAATCCCAACTGAAAAAAAACCCTCAGTTCCCTAGTATCACACCCTATTGTAACTTGACCAATAACAAAGAATAAAAAGCACACAGGAAAGAAAAATAAAGAAAACATATGAAATTAGTACAGATCACAGCAAAAGCAAGAAGAGTGTCAAAACAAGAATACCAAGAAATTATGGATGTCTAGAAAAATTACAAATGTTAAATTCAAACTATCACCACATCACAATAAGTTGCATAACTTACCATTAGAACAAAATTTAACTGGTACTTGATGGAGGTTATCACCACCTACTCTGAAACACCAAAATATTTCCATACATACTTTCACATTAGTTTCAATATTTGATTATTTATAATTAAAAAATAAATTAAAAATGTATGTTAAAATTCAATAGGCTACTCCGATTTTTATGCTGTATCAATATTTTTTTATGCTCTATCAAATGGAGAAAGGTCAAGACATTAGAAGATACTCATTTCAAAATAAAACCCAGAGGAATGTAGAATTTAAAAAATTATATTGGTTCACAGAAGGAGATTTAAATTTATCTTATCTTTTAAAATGAAAGTCTCATAATCTTTACAAAAAAAGAATGTCAAAGTCCATGCATTATCACACACCAAAGAATAAATTCTACTGACTAATCATTGAACTCTAAATTTAAAAATACAATATAACTGTGGACAAACATTCCATGCCATATGTTGCCAATTTTGTGAAGAAAGTATATGAAGAAAAGACTTATGTAAGTAATTTTACAAATTCCAGTTCATTTCTAAGTTTATATTGATATCCACTGCTTTGTATTATCTGCACTACAACACGAATTGAATGTAGAAAGGTTAAAAAATGTGCGTGCTTTCCAGCGATAATAATGGAAAATCTGAGATTTTAGAATGACAAGACTGATTTAATTTTCACTAATATCATTCTTCAAAATGTAAAATTTCTTTTTGATTAACCCTTCAACGCGGAATGCCATCTTCAGATGACATTTTCATTCCACCTCTATTCACAAGGGAGCCATACCTAGATGTCAGAGATTTTCCTCTGAACAGCAAGATGCAGTGCGAGAAAGGAGGTTGCCAGAGCAGTGTACTATGCTGGCTACCTGCTACCATGCTCACACACACAGTCCCTTTCACTACACTCGTGTTGGAATGCTACCATCCCCAACCTAGGCTCTGCACTGACGGGTTAAACTCCACTTCGATATCTTCAAAACATGAAAATTCACATGTGTGAAACCCATTACACAATTTAAATGCTAACAAGAACAACTTTGATCAATATCAACAAACATTAATTAGCCAAAATATTGTCCATTATTAAATGCATTTGTATAGCTGACTAAGCTTCTTTTGCAGATCACATACCTTCCCCAAGGGATGGAGTTCAAGATGGTCACAAAATCACAACTGAGCCTGTAACAAGAACTTGTATCTCATTATCATATTGTATCAATATATATGTATCATTGCTCTTCCAACAATAACATAAATCACACACCTACTAACAGAATGTTCCAAAAACTGGCACATTCCAACAGGTGACATAAAAACAGATCACATTTTTACAATTTATTGTTACATTATGAGTAGTATGAAACCTAGACACACACACTGTGACAAAGTCGATCCCAAAAGCCATTCAAATATGAATTACTCATGACTGCCAGAGACAGGCAATCATGAGTAACAGCATCAGGATGCAATTAATGTTGCCTGAGAATGAAGCCAATACACTAAATTAGTATTAGAAAATGTCACTACATTAAGCCAATTGTTTGAGACCGTGTCAAATGAGGGGCTCAGAACAATTAGGTAAGTGTCTTTTGGTGAAATCCGAGTTAATAACCGCTTCACGAGTGTATACTCATTATTTTTCATTATGTTTTTTGCTGCACCCTGTGTAATCAAAATTTGTATGCTCAAAAGTTTTGAGATGATGTTGAGAAGTAAAATCATGTAAGCGAGACAGATTAATTAATTTTGGTTGGTTATGAATATTTCATGTGATTATTAGGAATGATTCTAATGTTCAGAGAATAGTACTACTACAAGAAGAATATAATATATTTTTATTTTGGTTTTTGAGGGAAAATACAGCATCAAAGAGGTCTCAAGAGATTAGGTCTTGTTTAAAAAATTAATGTGAAATTTTTAGGAGTATTTCACACCCCCAGGATTACATACGGCGATTACTGTGGTAGTCATGACTTGAACTAATGGTGCTACAACAGCACATACTTTTCCACATTTCTATATTTGCAATTTTCGATAATTCAGGGAGTTCTACGAAAATGAGATCTTTGCCATTCTTTAAAAAATCTCTTCTCCTATCCCAAAAAATGTGGAGTGGTTTCTGAGAAATGTTCTTTCTTTTTTTTAATTGAATAAATTTCAGACCTAAATTACGTGAAATCTCTTTTTCTTTTTAATTGTACATGACCTTTTTAAAAAGCAACTTTTTGAAATTTTAGAAAAAACAGATAGTTTGCCAAAAATGGGACTAGGACCATATTTTTTAACATCCCTTGATGCATTATAGGAGAAAATTTAAAGAAATAATTTGGTGCTTTTTTGAGAAAAAAAAAGGGTTTAAACAATTTTTTAAATTGAAAATTTTTTGCAAAAAATTATAAGATCTTGACTTTACAAATTTTTGAAGATAAGAAAGATAAGTTTCTTATAAAAAATGTTGAGCATTTGTATGAGTACTTATGAGTACTACTCTGTAGGTATATCTTAATAAGTAAAATCCACTTTTTTTGTCAGAGGAAACTCCCTAATTTTCTATTCACATTTGAATTTTAAAGCACTGTTTCTCCTCTTTGTGACTTTAAGTCACTTACTCGATTTTTGTATTGAGCCCCTCAAATGGTTCTGGCATTCCTGCAAAAGAGAAGCTTGAATGACTATACATTACACTATATGGATACAAAAGTGTATTTTCATCATATTTGGTTCCAGGTGAGGGGCAATACTAATCCCAACAAATCACCAAATTGTAAAAATTTGTACTAAAAGATATAACATAACGTCAATTTTTCATCCCCAATTGCAACACTAATACATGTGGTGGCTCAGAAGGGCATAAGTTCAGAAACATTCTGTATATTCTCTTTTTAAAAGATTTATTTGATGTTTTTAGAAAACACCAAGTAAACTTTTTCTTGGTACTACTAGTGTGATAACATGTATTTTTATAATAAATACTATGGTATCCACGGATCTAAAATAAACAGAATTAATGTGATAAGCTTTCTTTAACCTATACAACATAAGTAATATTGTAATCAAATATAATTATTACATTCATCCAATATATATTTTCTCACTATCTTCATATTAACATATTGTTCAGACAGACGGAGGGACAGAGAGAGTGAAAGAGAGAGATAGACAGTGAAAGAGAGAGAGACACCCACACAGTGAAAGAGAGAGAGAGAGAGAGACAGTGAAAGAGAGAGAGAGAGAGACAGTGAAAGAGAGAGAGAGACAGTGAAAGAGAGACAGTGAAAGAGAGAGAGAGAGAGAGAGAGACAGTGAAAGAGAGAGGAAGCACGCACGTGCGCGCGCGCACACACACACACACAGTGTTAAGGGGGGATTGGTTACAATTTATCTGATGAATCGTTCCATCTACCTTCAATACTTGACAACACTGACAATATTGATACCTGAAAAAGTATTAAGCTTTTGGTAATGAGGACATCTTCCTTTACCCTCATATCACAGAGCATTTTCATATAGTTAAAATCTGATCAGCAACAAGAAAATTTTTAAAAAAAAAAAAAAAAAAAAAAAATATTGTGCTTTCTATACAATGCAAGAAATGACTAACTTCAATAAAGGAGTAATTTAAAGAATTGGGAATATTAATCAAAATAACCCTACACTTAATTTTCTACTATCTAAGAGGAAGGAAAGTAACAAATGTTTCCTTAACATCTGTGTCAAGGGCAAAGATGAGTAAATAATCAATCATTGACAATTTGTGTCCATGTTACCCTGTGTAAAACAAATTTTCAATGTTCCTGACACTGCAGCACCCAGAAAGAATACTCTTCCATAACCAATCAATAATCATATTATATACAAGATGAGCATATAAAAATTTTTGTAGTAAAATACAAATATTTTTGTTGAAAAAGAAATACAACATTAATACACAAGTACTGAGTACCAATTTCAATTGCTTTTCAACTTATGTTTGAGAAGTGACTATTAATATCAGACATGTCATTCATAATGTTAAATCTGTAAAGTTAAAATCGCAAAAAGAAATTATAAAATAAACATTTCACCTGCACAAAAACCTATTAAGTACATAAAGTAAAAATGAAATAATATTTTAAAAAAAGAAAAAGAGAAGACAAAGAAAGACTGAAAAAAGAAGAAGAAAAAGACAAAAAATTTTCTCTTCCAAGCAAGATTTGAGGTGCGCCTATAGGTTTTGGCCAACAACAGAAGAATTGCTAGTGGTGAGGAGTAATATAACTATGAAAACTCACAGTTGCAGTTTAAATTCCAGCCACTGGAAATTCCCATTGTATGTCCCGTCACAAGAGGCATAAAACCACATGATCTATCATAAATTTTCATGAAATGTAAAGGTCAAAATACTTCACGCACTAAAACAGAAACCAATACCACCCATCAGCAAACTGAAATTGCCTTTCTAATTGTCAGAAGTTTAAAATTAAGATTACATGAAAGCAATAAGCTGAAGAACTGAAGTGAAATCACTTAAAACAATGATGATATTATCAACAACGATAAATTTGAAACAAAAGGTAAAACAAATCGAGGACCCTAAAATTGTATGAACAAATGAAATATTCACAGTTTTTATAATGATCTGGAAAGGCAAAAGACATGCCATCCTAAGTAACCATTTTGTTTACATCAGCTGCAGACCCAATCAAATACATGCTATTTGGAAACTTGCCCATAGGTGTTCTCCTATTCTTTGTCCTAGTTGCTGCAAAATAAGCACACAATTTAGATTTTGTATTGTGTCTATTTAGCTGTAAGACATGTGTATGAATGTGGCATACATTTCTAAGAAGCCACTATTGATACATTTATTGATGTATCAATATGAAAAAATCATATTGATGAAAACAAATCCTTAAAACAAATCATTAATACTTAAAAATTAAGCAAATTCATTTTTTTTTTACAAATATTTGTTCCCCAATACAGTTATTCCTAAGAAGAATTAATTCAGGTACATTGGTGTATTGAATATTAAGAAAATAAAAAACTCAAAATAATAAATACATTTTTTTTTTTGAAAATAATGTGAGCTGACAGGAACAACAAATATCAGTCAAATATGGTAACTAAATTTATGATCATTTTTAAGTTCTAATGACAATATGCAGAAAGCAAATTTAGACATACAAACCTGTCTAAATTACATATTTAAATTTTTCACAAAACAGAAAAAAATTAATACAGTTTTCTTGCACACAAGATAAATGAAGTAAAATGGAAAATTCAGAGTGATTACCTCACCAGATGCATCAGTCTTCTGTTAATAGAAAAATTATTTGCATGGTGATCATCTCATTAGGATACAAAATCTCGAATTCCTGGCACACTAACTAATTCTTTTGCAATTTATCTTGACCTGCAGAGGAACTCATTACTTAGTATGTTAATGTACAAAATTTCTGACACTTTAACAAGTTTGTAGTATGTTTATAATAATTATCTAGTCTTTGTCACTTAGTCTTATTGTTACAAGAGTCATTCTTAGTACACTTACTCACAAGATAAACTTATTTCTCTGAACACAAAATGTTCTTTGAATTCAATGTGGATTTCTTTCAGAGAAAAAAATACTGTGATTAAATTACACATGTTTCGTCCATTGACACAAAGAGTAATGCTACTGACAAGTCTGAAATTTCCTAGAAGAGAAATCACTCTGCATATCACAAATCAAAATGAAAAAAGAAAGTCAATGGCAGTGGATGCAGACTAATTAACAGTCAGTTACACATTTTATATATTTCTTTCTTCTTAGTCAATGCAGGTACGAGCATTCCTTGTCCTTGCAAGACCCCATTATATGATATGGGCATAAAACAGCCTGGTTGTCATTATTTGGCCTGAAAAAGAGATTATCAATTCAATTCTGCTAATAACATTTAATGGGGGAAGCTACAGGAAAAGAATTCAAGTAACTCAATTTAAGGATCACTAAATTTTATTCCATTAAAGAAGTCACAGTAGTGGAATTAATGTTAGAGAACGAACTTCCAGACTTGTCATTTTTCAGCGAGAATCATGCATTGGTAATCTTAACTCCACCAAATGCAAATCAGAGACCTTTTACTTCATCATCCTGAACGTCACCTTATTTATGCAAATGTGATCTTAAAGAAGGCCCAACAATATTAATAATACCAAACAATATTTTCATCTAATCCTGCAATCATAGTCTGAAACACCCCACAAATTTTTATAACAATAAATCAAGATTTTTCAAGAAAACCAACTACATATTTACTGTCTGTGAATTTAAATACAATTTTTCTAAGAAGAATTACTTACAAATTTCTAGTTTTCCTTGCTATTATTTTTCTTTTAATGTAATATTTTAAAATGTATTTTTTACTATTGTTAGAGTTATGCTTTTATATGATTTATCAACCCTGAAATGTAGCTCAATTTTCATTCAAATTTTAACAGAAATGTTCTTTAAAAAATACATTTTCACTTGTTTGGCAATAACAGCATATTTTGTTGACTTGTGAGATTTCGATTTTATTTTTGAAATAGGGAAGTAAAATATCCTCTAAAACACCTCTCACTATGTGTTCATTCATATTCATCGCCATTAAAGGGTTTTGAGAGAACCATTTAGATACTGCAAATTTTCCTTTTAAAATATCAGAAGTAACAGATACATCTTTCACTCAATCAATGTAGACCATCAAATATGCTGCGTTTGAAATTTCCAACTTTCTTCTAGAAATAATTTCCATAATTCCCACCCAACCACTCACTCGCATACTCTTTTGAAGCTTGTCAAGAAGTTAAGGTCAACAATCTGCGTTTATTCTTTACACAAGTTCATGTTTTTAACACCACATCAGAGTAATTAAACAAATCAATTTTTTAATAAAATGTTGTAGGGATATAATAGAACTTTATTCACTCATGAATTATATATCTCTCAGGCTATTGCATTTAGGATCTAAACTTTTTGTCTTATGAATAAAAGTACACAAGAGTCCTAGTTAAATAACTATTGAACAAAAATGTTTGATTGGGATTTTTTAAATTCCAGACATCTATTTTCTGTTATGAAAGTCACCCTAGGATTCGAACTCTAGTTCTCAGAGTTAGCATGTCATTTACATTACCCAACATCACCTGCCTCTGTGATAAAAACCTTCTCAATGCCAAACATTTACATTTGCAATTTGGGGAAATTTAGAGATTTTTACATCATTATTTCAAGATCTAGTTTTACAGAATAGATTTAATTAAGAAAAAGTCCCAATTTTCAATATTGTCGTTGAAGGAAGACACCAATTAAATTTTAAACTTTTACATTCTGAATTTTTACTTCGTAAGAAGAGGAAGTAATGTAATCATGCACCGGAAAACTGATTTTTCAACAGAAAAATTCTTATTGCAAGGTCCTGGAATATAGAAAGTACATAAATCTTGTTCCTAAATACAGTAAATTACTTTCTCTAACATGTCACGTAGTCAAAATCCATGTTTTGTGGGTCATTGACAACAAATAAAATTGATTGACAGCAAAATGTCCTTCTGTAGCCAATGCTAGTGCCTAAACTTTAGACACAATTTTCTTCAAAATTGATATTTCTTAATAGATCCAAATAAACTCAAGGCCTTGCGAGTTTGTAACGGATTCATTTTGAGGGGTACTTCACATATAGCCTCAACATTTTCAAAATTTTCTAAAAAACGGATTTTTTAAAAATAATCATTGTTTTTGGATAGCGTCAAGCACGCTTAAATAATGGCACAGGTCTCTTTGTCATTGAAATCCCCGTTTTTTTGAAAATTGTGAAAGTTCAAATTTTTTTCAGCATCTTCCTACAATGACAATATCAAAGATAATAGATTATTTTCCTTTATGAAATTTGTTCTTCAGACATCATGAAATAAGATCATGTTGAATATGTAGAAAATATGGGTAGTTAAAACAGCTCCAATTTTTTATTTTTTTTTTTTATTTTAGCCTTGAATGTATCAAAAAGCAGTTAAAAAATGCGACTAGTCCTAATTCTGGCAGACTCTATATTCTTGATCATTGCAAAAAAGTTCACACGGCAAAAGTACAATACTGATAATAAGAGATTTTTACGTTAAATCAAATCTAGTTAAAAAAATCATTAAAAAAAAAGGTACAATTATTTGAAAAAAAAAATAGTATTCGTGTAATTTCGGAATAAAGTTAATACAAATATTAAAGAAAACATTTTCTCAAAATCTACTCAAAAATTATTCTTGAAATCTCTTCCATAGATAAAACCAGAGAGGGAGAAGAAAAAAAGTTGAACTGTCTCAATTTTTGAAAATTACAAGTTATAAATAATGTGTGACATGGCAACAAGTGCTGTTGTAGCACTACTAGTACAAAATGCAGAGAATTCAACAAAAATGGGCCATTTTTATAGGCAAACTTTGCTCTATTTAAGGGAGGAAAAAATATTCACTTTAGAGAAAATCTTTTTTGTTTAATTGTCTTCTTTCAGACCAAAATTATGTGAAAATTACATGTAGTTTAATTGAACATGACCTTATTTTTTTGTTTTTGAGGAAATTTTGAGGAAAAATTTCACTAAGGAAAAACATCTCTATCAACAATATTACAGTTTTGCATTTTCCGAAAATACTGAGTGGACCAAAATTGGGACCTGTGCCTTTTTAAAGCATACTTTGCTCTATTTGGGAATAAAATTTCACACAAAATTATGCATAAACTACTCTATTTTCAAAATATTGTGAATTACTCAATTTAAGACTTAAGATTAATCTTAATCTTAGGAAAACGGATATCAATTAGGAAGAAAACCTGTCTTCAATATTATATTTGAACTATTGCAGTTTTTAAAAATTTAAAATTCAATGAAATTGGGGCCTGCGTTTTTTAAGCATAATCTGCTCTTTCCGAGAAAAACATTTAATTTCAAATTTTGGAGCCCCTTTAGAAGTTAAGAGAACACAACTAATATGGACTTCTCTGGCAAACAAACGAAAAGTAACCAATTTTAGGGAAAATAAATAAACGCATCATAAAGTGCTGGTTTGTCACCTTTGATTATCCATTTAACATAGTTTATCTTTGAGTTTAGTTGTGTTTAATTTGCTTGCGTGTTTCATCACATTAATTAAATGCAGTTAGTGGAAGTTAAACTCGGCAGTTAAATGCACGAGATCAACCATTGAAGTGCATGTAATCACAGTTATCTGCTATCCAACATTGTTTTGACAATTGTGGACTTGTTTTATTATGATAAAATGTTTCAAGACTCAAATGCAAAATGTTGAATGACAACGATCATGAGCAAAACCTGATTGTTGTGTGAACATTCATGGGCAAAAATGGGTGCTAGATCCTTCATTTTGATAAATAAGTAAGGTGTTTGAGGTTATTAAAATACACTATTATAATGGTATGGTAGCAACAGGTTCGTGCTTCTTGACCAACAGAATCGATTGCTAAATATTGTTTGCCAAAATTTCTGAAAATACATTTCCATAATTGCACATAAAGTACATAATATTAGAAAACAATGTGTTTTAAGGCTAAATATACTGAAAAATATGTGTAGGAAAATCCGATAGTGTCCTCCTTCGAATACAGTCATAAAAATGTTTGTGGCATTGCTCAAAATATTGGAACTGATTTCAAAATGAAAATTGAACTAATTATGTAAATATCACCAATATTTCATCTCCTCACATCTTATTTTACATATATTTTACTTCTTAAATCTTCCGATATCATTCCGCTACCAGAAAGCGTGAGCAGATATTATGCACAAACTTTTTTATCCTATGCTCGATTTTTGATCTCAAAATGGCATTTGTCTCTTTGTTAGACTTTACTTTGTGATTCTCTTTTCGCAAGTAAAATAGCTGAAGCTCATTTTAAAAATGTTTTCATACTTTCGGACATATTTGAAAAAGTGGTAAAATAACGTGCTGTCATTGTCAAATCCAATTCCTCTTCCTATAAATATGTTAGAGATTCCTAAACCAGATGGATTTTCGGCGATGTTTTAATTTTGAATATCAAAATTTGGAAATTAGATGTGTATGATGTTGGCATTACAATCCTTGTGCCAGTATCAACAGCTCACAACAAAAAACTCGCATACAATACATTTACATTATTTAACAACAATTTGCCAGATGACATTAAACGATTCAATTCGATACAAATGTTTATGTGCCAAGTAAAACCTTTTTTGCGGCACAACTGTTTCTATACAATTAGACTATAATGAGCAACCAAAAGGAAAGTAATATTAATTTTAACAATGACATGGAATGTAATATTTACCATTTGGACGGAATAATTCTAAAGACCCTGTTACAGATAATTGTACTTCAGCTTCTGGGTCAATGACCCCCCATCTCGATCAGGTTTCCGTCCAGTTTCCCTGATCCTTGTGCAAAAGCTGAGATGGCCTCTTGTTTTGCTTCTGGACTTAAATGTAACTTTAAATTAAGTCCCGCAAGTTTGGCGTTCTGCTTGTAGCAAGTCACTCAGTTTTTAACTGTTTTTGACATAAATTAATAAATAAATCTTGCTACCTTCCTAGTCCAAATCTCGAAGAGGGCGTGATGATAATTCTGCGAGTTTTTTCCAAACAATGGTAGTATTTTTAACGTGGGGATAGGCTGTTCGAAGCAATGATGCCTATTTGTTGGCGCCCGCTCCAGTAAAACAACGGCTGTAAGAATCCCTTCTTAGCATCTGCAAGACCCAATCCCTCCGCAGTGGCTGGACACGCAGAGAAATTGAATGTTTGGAAAGAAACACAATGAAAGGGCTCTGTCATTATAACATGGATGACTAATAATAATAATAATTGTGAAACATCATCTTTTTAAGTGAGGCTGCTGTGAGTCTGATTCAGTCTGACCACCATAGTTGACAAACCACGGTGTAGGTTTGTTCCGTGGTACCTATATGCGATGGACAGTCATTCCCTTCATCGTCACCCGCCGCAGAGGGCAAATTTCTTATTTCTGGTATTAGGTGGTATCCGAAGGGCAACAAAATTTATTTTGGGGTACTACTGGGCAACAAAAAAGTGACAAATTCCCATGTAATTATTTTATTTATCTTTGTAATTTCTTGATTCTCTGGTACTTGCGGTGCTAACTTGTTGTCCAGTTTGCCAATAGTTTATAGCAGTGTCAAGTGAAGAGCAACAACTTTTTTTGCTTATTAAATTTAATGAAATTTGCGTAAGAATTGCGAATTAAATTTCAAACAAAAAATGTATAGCAGCACTGGAAGGAAGGAAGGAAGGAAGGAAGGAAGGAAGGGAAACATGTTACAATTGCATGTTGTTTGGAGATCCTATCCTATGAAGGGAAGAACATACGGGCTTGGAGACAGGATCTGAGGCCACAATACTGCACCCCAATGATTTTACTACGCTTAATTTTAACTTTCCACCGATTTTATAAAAATACATGATTGAATCAAAAAATATGAAATAAAGTACATTTGAGGTCTTATGTTAATAAAAATCTTTAAATGACCCTAAGTAATTTATGAAGATGGCTCACATAATCAAAGTCTTTGTAACAAAATATGGCCTTGTAACTTTTACCTTCCTTAATTTATTTATAATGAAACCAAATCTTTTAGGTACGGTCTGAAAATTATTCTTTTAATTACTAATGCTATTTAAAAGTTACTTAGGTATTAATAATTCTGTTTTAATCATCAAAATCAACAATTTAATACAAATTTATAGGAAACTGTTTTATCATTACATTAATTATATTCACATCAATAACATAGACAGCATACTCACTCAGTTGTAGTTCTCATTGCATCCAGTGGAGATAAATATGACCCCGAATTTTGCCTGTTTGAATCTTCAATATTTATGTTTGGCATTTCTTCTGCCTCTGGAATTTCATTTGTTGTCTCTTGTACTGTATTACTTTCTTTAAGGACAGTTTCACCTACAAATAGAATCACAAACTGCAATGATATACAGACTATTTGTCACAACATAAAATTACCACTATTATTTCCGTCGATGAGAAAAGTTGAAACTATTATTTGACTGTTGAAGATACTGTTACACAAATACAGTGAAATTTACGTTACAGTGAAATGAAGTCACTGGTCCTGATCGACATACATAAACATAATAAGCACTGGAAGATTTGGTTACAGTGAACCCTAACGTTGGTTATAGTGAACATAGTAAATACAAATTAGAGGAAAAAAGTGCCTCATTACTGCAAATTCATATAACACTACAGGTTTGCAGGTAAGGGTTATTTTTGTAATATTTATTGTGAATGAAAGGGATGAGGGAACCATGCAACTGAGAGTATTGCTTCAGTTCATCAATGGCAGTTCTATCCAGTCTGAGGACTTAATGGATGTGGACCTCAAGTCGAAAACCGGTGAAATTCAATCTCGCTAAGACATTGTGAATGTGGTGAAAGGATCTTCCAGAACAGATGAAAACAAGTGATGGAGAAGACACGAAAATGACGAGGGTGCTTCAACAGTGCAAGGCAAATTGAACAAATCGAATAAAGTGTGAAGAAAGCACAAAGATATTGAATTTCAGATTCACTGTGATTGGATATTTTATGGTACCACTGAAATAATAAATCAATCATAGGATACAGTGAACCTCCGATATATGACGGCAAGGTGAAAAGTTCTTGGCCTTGCACAGAAACCAAGTTGATATCAATGAATTGTCAAATCTCAACTAGTCCAAGTAATTAGTTTTGTTCGTATCACTGTCGAAAGTAGATGTGGGGGTCTTCAATCAAATGGACAAATTGGAATACCATGTCATCATAAAAATTCTTTCCACAGTTTACAGCCAACAGAAATTCATTCAATGTTGGTGTAAGTTTGTAAAGAATCAGCTCCTTTGTTTGCAACAGTCAAGTAATCGGCAGCTTAATTTAAATGTGGTCATACTTCTCTTGAAGATGATCCAAGTGAAGGATGTCCCAAAACTGCAACCAGAGAGGAAAATATCGAAAAAATGAACAATATGGTGTTGAAAGATCATCAATGCAAGGTGCATGAAATGGCTGTTGCTGTAGACATACCAGAAGAATGATACATTTTATATAAATAATTAAGTGTAAGCAAGCTTTGTGCAAGATAGGTGCAGCATTCATTGACCAAAAGTAAAAGCGAAAACAACTTTCACGGCAACATTTGGACTGCCAACTGATTTCCTATGTCTATTTGTTCCTGTCAATGAAACATGGGTTCACTACTACACACTGGAAATGAAAAAGCAATCGAAGTAGTGGGTGAGAGCCGATGGCTGTGCATCAAAGAAGGTGAAAATTATTTCATCTGCTAGAAATGTTGCAGCAAGTCTTTTCTGGGATGCAAAAGGAATAATTTTCATAAATTATGAAATAATTTCCAAGACAATACCTATATTGAAAAATAATCATTTTTCATTAGGACAATGCACCTGCTCAGAAAAGTGCTTTGGCAATGGGAAAACTGGGGGATTTTAGCTATGAATTATTGCAACATCCACTTTATTCACCAGATTTGTCAACCTCTGACTTCTACCTATTCCCACAACAACAACAAAAGTATGTCTGGAAGCATTTTGCATTCAATAAAGTAATGGCAGCCATAGATGGGTATTTTGCAGACCTTTCAGATTTATACTTCAAGGAAGGAATCTACTCACTGGAAAAATTTGGACTCAGTGTGTTGACCTTATAAGGGACTACAAAGAAAAATAAGTGGAATTTTAAACAAAAAAGGTGAAGCTGAGAACTTTTAATCCTGCTGTGAATGTTAATCCCGAAATTTTTAACAAAAAATGTTAATCCTGAGAGTCTGGAATTGGAATTGAGTGTATTATCTTCATACAAATAACTTGATAAGTCAAAACACAGTTTTCTAATCTACACACCTGTAGAGAAAAATAAAAGTAAAAATGTGAAATTTTAATTTGTTAGAATTTATTTTAAAATACAATCGTTCTTAATATCAAACTCTTCTATTATTTATTTATTTGTTTATTTATTTACTTATTATTTAATTTATTATTATTATTATTATTTATACATAAAATATGGTGAAAACAGTGTGTATGTGCATGTGAGGGGGGGCAGGCATTTAAGTAATAAGGAACTGGATAAAGACTATGATTAATAATAATAATAATAATAATAATAATAATAATAATAATAAAAAAATTGTAAATTACTAATCAAATATTAGCAAGCTGACTTTTCAGAGGACTCAAGGGCACAAATACATTGAAGTCAAGTTGGGTGTACATAAAGCCAATCCATGAATCAATTTGAAGCTTCTAATAAATGTTAAAAAATGATTAAATGTTCAAAATAATATAGTAAAACCAACTTGTATACTTAAGTCCTACTTGGATTAGTTTTAAATGGGTGAAGTCTGTCACAAGACTGAATCAATTGCTGTGTCAAAGACTGAATCAGATGCACACCCCTCACAAAAATGTAAACAGTTCTGAATTCTCTCACAATGAAATTTGTATCAAATTCAAGTATTTAAAAATTCACAATTGTAATATATCTGGGTTTGCAGCGTAAAGGGTGTTATGTTAAAAAATGGTGAAGCTGAGATTTTGCCGTAGGTGTATGGTTAAGTTTAACAAAGGTTTAACAAAGGTTAACACACTTGTAGGTATAAAGAGCCAAGTCCCAGACCACCTTTACTCTTAGTTATTCGTTAGTTAACTTAGTGTAAGCGAAAAAATATACAGTTGCAGTATAAGGAGCGTTACATCCAGATTTGCCTGTAAATGTATTGAACTGGAGTGCTGTTCAATGACTACACTACATGTTGCTGGGATAGATTTGAAAACCAAAATAAGTGTGGAAATAATTTTTCTCGAAACTTACCTTAGACGGAACACCCTTTATGCATCAAACACAGATATTACGATATTTATTTTAAACAAAATTGCTGAAATTATTAAAACAGGCCATGAAAGTGATGAAAAGAAGAATTATAACATTTTTCATTCAATGCCTGATGATGATTTGAAAATTACTTCCCTCAATATTTTAGTAATTAATATTATAGACACCAAAAGAATTGATAGTGGTTTGCACAAATATATAAATATATAACTTATATTTATTGGGGTATAGGGACCCTTCAACTACTGAGGTTATAGCGGCTCAGGGGGCGGATTTTAATGAAAAGTCATATTTTTTCCTTTTCACTTTAGAACAAATCTGTTAAGTATACAAATTCATTTTATGTTATGATGAAACAAAATGGCCCATTCTTAGAAGTCTCTTTTTTGCATTTTTCGCCAATTTCGACTAATGAATTTTTTGCAGATATCATTTGTTTTTATAACGTTTTAATAGTACTTGTTCCACACAATATTTAAGAGGAACAAGAAATATTAACCACAGAATTCCTGAGTGGCCAATTTGATTTCTTTGCTCCTGTATTATACTGTCAACTGTTGTGAGTACTATGCAATCTAAGTTTCCCGAGATGTATATCGGCACCATTGTCAGTTCGGCTGATTTCGCGATAAATAAAGGCAGAGATTTTCTTTTGAAGGACAGCCCAAACCCAAAGTTTGCAAGCTGAGTTCACTTGAACAAAAGGAAGTAGCCTTTATTACATCAATAACATAACCAACAGCTTGAGTAGTTCTTCTGAAATGGTTTTGATCAAATTTGTACATAATTTTTCTTTGTTTTCGGGGCATATTTAAAGCATTTTAAGAGCATTTTATTGATAATTTTTGGCAATGTTTTATGTCATTAAAATCCACCCCCTAGAGATGACCTTATGAGCAGACGACGATAATGATGGAACAATGGAGGATTGAGAGGCAGGGAAACTGGAGAAAAACGAGACAATCTGCCGAGAGCTGATTGGACTGGAGATCAATTCTGGGCCACAGAGGTAGTGAATGTATGCACTAGCCATTATGCCACAAGTTCCCCCGGTCTTTGCACATAATGAACTTTGGTAGAACCCCAATTTTCTGTTTTATGGAGGGAACGGGGATGGCAGTTATTTGAAAACGATGATCCATTTGATTTAAATGAACAGAATTAGTAATGTGTGTATTATACACAAGGGCTTAGTGAGCTTATATGTAAATCCACCTCCATGCTAATTGAACATAATTACAGATTGTTTTTGTTCTTGAAGTCTGTCTTTTTCTTCTGAACTTTGCTGCATTTCTTTTTATATATGTTCATTAAAATGAACTCTAAATGGCAGTAACTTATCTATATGTTTTGTATATCACACACCGCTGGTAAGGCCTACTCCAATTGCAGCTGCTAAATTTGCAACTAAGTCTCTATTAGCAGATTGTTCTATAATATTTTCTTTAATTTCGATACTAAACACAATGAATTTCGTGTTTGCACTCAATACAATTAGTAATACAATTCACTGGTCAACACACTAAACTTTGTTAATTCTCAATAAACAGTCCAGTTCAACAAACATTATGATGGAATTACATTCAGGGAAATGCTCTGGGAGATGTGCAGTAGTCCTATGTAATTTTCAAATATCAAACTATCCATAAAGAGATAAATACAAAACAATTTTGAATGACAAAAATTAATGATTATGTGTCTGAACTCAAAAATTAAATCACAAATGCAAATAAAAAAATTTCAGGATACTTAACCTGTTGGAGATGGTGCAGGGATTTCATGTTCAGAATTAGTTGCAAGTTTTTGATCTTCCATCTCTTGCAATGTTTTTGATATTGCAGCCATACCTTTGCGAATCAGGTCTGTGCACGTGTTAGGAACACTGAAACAAATACATTCATAATTAATGCTGTTGCAGTAGCACACACTTTCTAATTTAATTGGTAAGTTACATAATAGTATAATATTGCAACTTCTTTCCTCCAAACACCTCCACATCACTTGAAAAAGTCCTTACCGCAAACAACAAGAGAGGTTTGGGAATAAGAAGA